GAAGAGGAATCGTGTGCCACAGCCCGCTCCAAGTAATGCTGCAGGTGCCGGATCTCCAGCGCATCGGGCTTCTGTGGCCCAAGATACATGACGACGCCCTGGCCCGTGGGACGAGACGACGACGAAGGGTGAGGGGGAGGCCTGCACATCGGGCGCGCGCCAGCATGGATCAGCGATCCGTGGATCTGGCGCGTGGGCGCCAAACCAAACGGATCGAGGCACGGGGCACCCGAGACGTGGCGCCGGTTCCGCCTGATTTGGCGACGGAGCGCGCCGACGTGGCACGGAAACGGGGCCCGCTGCTAGTCCACGCACCACGACCCGCGTCCGCGCTTCCTCGCGTACTCCAGATTTCGTGATAAAGGGACGGGGTCTGGACCCTCCAAGACAAGCCATTTCAGACCTCCCCCGTGGGAGAACCCTCCAAAACATCGTCCCCAGACCCCCCAGGCCCTCCAAGATAGCCTGGAAGAGACCCCTCCCCCGAAATGAGACCCCCTCCCTTTATTACGAAATCTGGAGTACAGAATTCACAGGGACGGCGGGGGTGACCTCACATTGCTTGCTGCGCGCAGGCCTGCCATCCCTGTCGGAAGGCGCAACAGAATACAGTGTGCCTCCCAAATCCAGAGCATGCGCGGGCGCCCCGCGACCACCTTGTTTTTGTTTTTTGTTTGACACGGATACTCGGGCGCTGCCCATGTGAGAGCGGGTGAGGGTGAGCGAGACAGTCTGTGCCGTGTGGGCACTCCGCCGCCCAGCGTTCGCAAGGGCGCACCAGGGGGAACCCAGCCTTAGCAAGGGTGGCAAGGGTGCACCCGGGGGGACCCAGCGCTAGCAGGGGTCACCGGCTACCGGAGCCGCCCGGCACCAGTGTCCTACTGACGCTGGGCGGCTCCCGTAGCCAAAATGACCCTTGCTGACACTGGGCGGCTCCGGTGGCCAATAACCCCTTGCTGACGCAGCGACAAATCCCCGGCCCCACCCCCGTGCCGCAATCCTCGGGTCGAGAGCGCACCTCTTCCGGTCGAAGCTAAGCGGGCCGCGCACGGCTTTGGTTAACAAAGGGGGGGGGGGGGAGCAGAAGGCGGGGCCTCACGTCAAGGCCAGGAGGGGGCCCACAGTCCTCGAAACACGAGGGCTGGCCAGGCAGGGCGGGCCTCCTCGTCGGCCAGCGGGGCCGCGGGCCCGACGTCTCGAGGCCAGGCCGCCCCGCCGTCGAAGACCCTTTGCAGCCCCTACAGGTGGAGACCCATGCCAAGAAGCACCCTGCTTGGGTCTCTTGGGTTTCGATGGTTTTTCTGTGGAAGGCGCGACGTTCCCACACCAAAAATCAAGGAACGCCCAGGGATCTCAGGGTTGGGTTTATTGTGGAAGGTCTTTCGTGGACTGGCCTCCACAATAGATTGCTTCACCCGTCCCTTCCTTTCCGTGCTGCCCCCCGCCTCGCTGGCTGAAGTCTAGAGAGACCAGGGCCAGCAGATTGATGTGGTACGTCGCTTGTCCTCACGACGTTTGGCGCCGTCTGGTGCCCATGTGTGCCTGCACCAACCATCCCATTCTAGATATTCACTCAGCTGGTGCAGCAGTCTCCGCAGAGAAGATTACTCGACGCGGAGATCGTCTCCGCAGAGAAGATTACTCGACGCGGAGATCCCAATGTGTGCATATCATAGTGATGGCCTGCTTCGGTAGAAGGTATTGTCCTTTTTCAATATCTGAGTATCAGCGAATTCATGTGAAGACGTAGCCGAGAGCGACGCCGACGACTACGACGACTTTAACTAGTTGTTCCCCATAGCCTAAGATGGGGTTATTGTTATTACTTGGACGCCTCCTACTTCCTCTCCTCCTTCTCCTCCTCCTCCTCCTCCTCCTCCTCCTCCTCCTCCTCCTCCTCCTCCTCCTCCTCCTCTCCTCCTCTACTCAGACTTGCTCATACCCAGACTTGCTCATACACAGATTTATGCACACTCAGACATTCTCATACTCAGACCTACTCATACTCAGACTTACTCATACCCAGACGTACACATACACAGACTTACTCATACACAGGCTCACAGGCTGACTCATACTCAGACTTACTCATACCCAGACGTACTCATATACAGACTTACTCATACTCAGACCCACACATATTCAGACCTTCTCATAGTCTGAGTTAGTCAACGCACGGCAGATTGTGAGGATGTCTCAGGCGTGGCGCTGGTTTCAGCACCCCTAAGGGGAGCCGCCAGGGGGTATATCACGGGCCCGTTCGCGGCCAGTTTGTGGGGATGTATCAGGCGGTTTGCTCGTTTTCGTGCTCAGCATCCTTGGCTTTCATAGCAGATTGTGAGGATGTCTCAGGCGGGGCGCTGGTTTCAGCACCCCTAAGGGGAGCCGCCAGGGGGTAGATCACGGGCCCGTTCGCGGCCAGTTTGTGGGGATGTCTCAGGGGGTTTGCTCGTCTTCGTGCTCAACATCCTTGGCTTTCATAGCAGATTGTGAGGATGTCTCAGGCGGGGCGCTGGTTTCAGCACCCCTAAGGGGAGCCGCCAGGGGGTATATCACGGGCCCGTTCGCGGCCAGTTTGTGGGGATGTCTCAGGCGGTTTGCTCGTTTTCGTGCTCAACATCCTTGGCTTTCATAGCAGATTTTGAGGATGGAGGAAAGGGGGAGGACGAGGAGGAGGAGGAGGAGGAGGAGGAGGAGGAGGAGGAGGAGTAAGAGCATGCACATCTGGGAAGCTCCGAAGTTACCGCAGGCTGAGGAGGGCACGGCCTGGCAGCTGAGGAGGGGGAGTGAAGATGAAGAGGCTCATGTTCAATCATACTCAGCTCACTCTGACTCATACACTCGCATCAAGATGCACTCGTCTTCGTCGGGCCTGTCGCCAACGGGACGGCTTTAATAAATATAAAAAAAAAAAGAAAAAATAGAAAGAAAAAAAAGAGAAAAAAGTATAAGATAAAAAGTAAAGGAAGAAAAGAATTAAATAAAAAAGAAACAAAAGAAAATATAAAAACAAAGTTAGGAAAATTGAATAATTAAATTAAGGAAACAAAGAAAAGAAGCAAATAATAAATAATAAAAGAAGAAGAGGAAAAGAAATAAATAAAAAGAAAAAAGTAATATAAATATATCTAGAAAGTAAAAGTAATAAAAATGGATAAAAACATAAATAAATTAAAAAAATCTATATAAAAGAAAGAAAAATAAACAAAAAAAGGAACAAACGAAATTAAAATAAACAGTGAAAAAAATTAAACGAGAGGAAAAAAAAATTTAAATGAAAAAAAAGTCAAACGCTCATGAACAGACGCTCACTACGGCATAATATAAAACATGAGGTGCACATATGGGGAGCTCCACGAAGTGAGTAATTCACTCCTTGTTTCTTCCTCCTCCTCCTCCTCCTCCTCCTCCTTGTACTTCTTCTCCTCCTCTTTCTCCATCTTTTCCTGTGACCACCTGTCAGGGCGCCGAAAACTGTTCCGTAAGAGAAAGAAGTTGAGCACCGAAACAGGTAAACCGCCTGAGACATCCCCCCAATCTGGGCGCGAACGGGCCCCTGATATATCCCCTGGCGGCCCCCCCTTGGGAGTGCTGAGCGCCTCGCCTGAGACATCCTCGGGAACTGCTCCGAAAGAGAAGGATGTTGGGCACCGAGACAGGCAAACCGCCTGAGACAACCCCCCAATCTGGGCGCGAACGAGCCCGTGATATACCCCCTGGCGGCCCCCCCTTGGGGAGCTGTGCGCCTCGCCTGAGACATCCTTGGAAACTGCTCCGAAAGAAAAGGATGTTGGGCACCGAAACAGACAAACCGCCTGAGACATTCCCCCAATCTGGGCGCGAACGGGCCCGTGATATACCCCCTGGCGTCCCCCCCCTTGGGAGTGCTGAAACCAGCGCCTCGCCTGAGACATCCTCGGAAACTGCTCCGAAAGAACGGATGTTGGGCACCGAAACAGGCAAACCGCCTGAGACATCCCCCAAATCTGGGCGCGAACGGGCCCGGGATACCTGGCGTCCCCCCCCTTGGGAGTGCAGAAACCAGCGCCTCGCCTGAGACATCCTCGGAAACTGCTCCGAAAGAGAAGGCTGTTGGGCACCGAAACAGGCGGCCCCCAATCTGGGCGTGAGCTGGCCCGTGACATACCCCCTGGCGCCCCCCCTTGGGAGTGCTGAAACCAGCGCCTCGCCTGAGACATCCTCGGAAACAGCTCCGACAGAGAAGGATATCGAGCATCAAAACAGGCAAACCATCTGAGACATTCCCCCAGTCTAAACGCGAACAAACCTGTAATGTACGCCCTAACACCCCCCCTTGGGAGTGCTGAAACCAGCGCCTCGCCTGAGACATCCTCACAACGTGTGTGTGAGTCTGAGCGCGGAAGTACCAGGAGTGTGAGTGAGTCTGCGTATGAGTGATCCCGAGCATGAGAAACCTGAGTATCAGGAATCTGACAGCAAGTGCATCTGAGCATGAGTGAGTCTGAATATGAGTGAGTCTACATGTGAGTGGGTCAGAGAATGATGACCTGAGGGGGGGAGGTGTGTTCCCTCTCGTTCTCCGCGCGGTCAAAGTAATAACAAGAACCCCATCCTTAGGATATGGGGAATAAAATTGGAGAATCGAAGCATCTACCACCCGTCGCCAATGTAGAATGCTCCGTCCATCGCCCATGTCCCGCTCGTCTTGCCTATCGTGCCCCTCCTCTTGGTTTCTTCTGTCGCAGAGGGTGCTGATGACGCATGTGTGAGCCTGTGCGCTAGACCGAGGAGGGGGGTGGAAGGGGAGATGGCGCGGGAGGGGTAGGAGGCAGGGAGGGCGAAGGGAGAAGAACAGCGAGGAGGGATCATCAGGATGATGATGATAAGGAGGACGAGGAAGGGAGAGGAGTGAGGGGAAATGGGAGAGGAAGGAGAAGGAGGAGCCGGAGGACAGGGAGGAGAGGGAAGAGGGTAGGGATAGGAGGATAGGAGGGAGGGAAGGGTGGCGCTTGACGCCA